AACAGCTAGCTCTATTAAAAAAGTGTAATTCCTAATTGCATTCTAAATCTATCTTTATATCCATAGCCAAGCACAGCTCTTACCACTCATCAAGGAAACTTCTCTTTGCAACAGAGACCATTACAGAAAATCATGACCTATCAAAATGCAGATAACAACTGACCACGTGGTTCCTAGCCCCATTGAAGACATCTACAATATAACTCTGATGAAGGAATGTCTTTCTGTATGCTGTAAAAATATGTTGCTCTGATTGGTTGATAAATAAAGCCATTTGGCCAATGGCAAGGCAGCTTAGAGGCAGGTGGAAAATCCAAACAGATAGAGAGGAGAAAGATAGAGCAGAGAAGAGTCTGCCAGCTACCACCATGAGAAGCAAGATGTAAAAATACTGGTAAGCCACAAGCCACGTGGGAAAGTATAGATTTACAGAAATGTGTTAATTTAAGATATGAGAACTAGATAGCAAGAAGCCTGCCATGGCCATAGTTTAAAAGTAAAATTAGCCTGTGTGTGTTTATTTGGGTCTGAGCGGCTGCGGGACAGGCGGGTGAGAGAGATTTGCCCTGACCATGGGTCAGACAGGACACAGAAAAACTTCAGCTACACAACTCCTGGACCTAAGGCTAGGGGAATCATCATGGAAGACAGGATGAAAAGATGGAAAGAACCAGAGACACAGAAAGTCTGATGTGTTTTTCTTGTGTCTCCAAGAAATATCAGGGAAGCTACATCCATTAATTGTCAAGAAGGTGGCTACCTAAACAAGGAAGACACCAAAAGACATACTAACATGGAAGCAGGAAATTTCAACTACAGGCAACCAAAAAAATGCTGAGAGCTGGAGAAATAGTCTTCCCCAGGGAAAAGCCCCACAGCTGTTTATCTAATACCAAGTCGTCATCCCTGAAACCATATACATACAAGTAACATTATATGAAATGAACAGATTATATTTATGTGTATGTGCATGTGTACCAAAATTAGAAAAATGAGACTGTAAATCTGAGAGAAAAGTAAGAGTGTGTGGGTGTATGGGAGGCATTAGATGGAGGAAAGGGAAAGAAGGAAAATGTCATCATATTTATATTTAATTAAAATTATTAAATAAAATAATTTAAAAGCCAGGAAGCACTGTTTCTTTATGGTCTCTGTTTCAAGTTTTTGCTCGAGTTCCTGACTTGATTTAACAATGATGGACTGTGACTTGGAAGTATAAACCAAAGAAACTCTTTTGCCCCTATGTTGCTGTTGGTCATTCTTATCAAAGTAAGAGAAGGGAAACTAGAATGTCCTAGCTTGTTTTCTATTGCTCTTCTGAAAACCATTAGCAAAAGCAACTCAGGGAGGAAAGGGTTTATTATCAAACTGTATCACTGAGAGAAGTTAGGGCAGGAACTCAAGCAGGAAGCTGGAGGCAGGGACTGAGGTAGAGGCCATAGAGGAATCCTGATTACTGGCATGCTCTCCATGGCTTGCTCAGTCTTCTTTCTTCTACACCCCAAGACTACCTGCTCAGGGGTGGTAACATCCACAAAATGAGCTGGACCCTCCCATATCAAATATTAATCAAGAAAATACCCCACATATCTACCTACAGGCCAATTTGATGGAGACATTTTTCTCAATTGAGATTCCCTCTTCCCAGATGTATGGGGCTCATGCCAAATAGACAACAAACTAACCAGCACACAGAATAATAGGGAAGAGATAATCTCCTGAGCAGAAAGTACTGGGAAAGTGAATAACCATATACATAGAAGGAAACTAAATCAGTATCTCTTACCCTGTACAAAAATCAATAGATGGATCAAAGAACTGAATGAATATAAGATCTGAGGCCGAAACTGCTAGAGAAAAAAAAGATCAGACACTCAGGCATAGGCACAGGATAGGAAGGCCTCAACAGCACAGGCATAATCTCAAGCATCCAGAAATGGGATGACATATACTGAAAACAATTCTATATAGCAAAGGAAACAGCAGAGTAAAGAGACTGCCTACTTTAATAGTTAACAATTTTTACCCACTATGCATATGAAGGGGGGTTAATATTCACAATCTATAAAGAACTCTAAAAGTTAAACATGGTAAAAAAAATCCCCAAATCAAAAAATGACGTAATAAACTTAATAGATAAAGCACATGCCAACTACCACTGAGGTTCAAGCATTCCCTCCATTTCCTCTACGTTTCAACCTGTCAGTTAACTCTCTGTCCTAAGTAGATGAGCTACATTTCTCCTAGATTCTCAGTCCCATCTACACTAGGCTAAACATGTGACAAACTTTTGAATATACCCAATTCTCCTTTTTTAGTTTTTAATATAAACAACTTTACACTCCAGATATACTATGATATATATATATATATGTATATATATCACTTATTGTTTACTAGTAGACATTTAAGTTATTTTCAATCTTTCACTATTTAAATATGCTGTATGAATGGCTTTTATATATTCTAAAGCTGAGTAAATATATTCACGAGGTAAATTTTGAAGGCTATTACCAAATATTATCCTTTACAGAAGCTATATTTAAAATTTCTCTTAAAATTGTGCGTGTGTGTGATGTATGTTAAGTGTGAACATGTGTGGACCCTAGTCAGCGCTGTGGGGTGGGCTCTCCCCTTCCCCCTTTATGTGGGGTGGGTGTGCAAACCCAGGTGGTTAGAACAGTGCAGCAAGTGCTCTGACCTGCTGAGCCATCCTGCACTCTTCTACCACTTGTACTCTTATCAGCAAGAATGAGCGTATGATTTTCCCTCTACTGCTAATAAAGTATCTTGACAAACACTTTAGAACACCATGGCGCTGGTTATTGAACACTGACATGGCATCACTATAGTTTTAAACTACATTTCTCTTGTTGTAACTGAAACAAGACACCCGTTTAATAAGTTTAAGAGTCACAAAAATTTTCTTCCTATCTTTGCTGACTTGTAAAAACTGGGTTGTCCTTGTTCATTCTATAGGATCAACATTTACAAGGAACATCAGTCCCTATTTTACATATGAGTACAAATATTCTCTAATTTGTAGTTCGTTCAGTTGTCTAAATCAAAGTTTTAAATCATGTTATTCAAATGAATTATATGTGTAAAAGGTGAGCTTGCTATTATTTAGTGTGCATGTTTTGTACACAGCTGATGGGCGACTACTTGATATTTGTGACTGAATGAATACATTTAAATTATTAACTATTAATACCTACATTTATTATTATTCACTATGTAGGTATTAGGATAGGTGGTGGACATACAGGAGAAAATAAATTAAATTCTCTATCTTCACAAAGAAGTCTCCTCTGATGGAGATGGTATCCGAACAGTTAATTCTAAAATACTGTGATATATGAAATATGAAGTACTGGATTACTTTTCTCACTGCTATGACCAGCTTATCTGACAAGAAATGAGTTTGTTAGAGCTCAGAGTTCCCTTGAACAGTCTGACATGGTGGAGAAGGTATGGCAGCAGGAGAATATGAAGCAAGTGACACTGTTTCCATAGTCAGAAAGCAGAGAGAAGAATGCTCATGTTCTATGTACTTTCTTTTTTTATAAAGTCTGGGACCTCAGCCTATGGAATGGGACAGCCATATTTATTTATTTTTTTGAATACACAATGAGGTATTTAATGTTTCTTATATTCTCTTCCATTAAGCATTTAAACATTAACATTGTTAAATTTTGTTGAAAAAAGCATACATGATGGGAGTATATCATCTACCTTTGGACTTGTACACATGAGGATCATGAGTTCAAATATATCCCTGAATCATTACTGACATCCAAGCCAAATGGAATTACAAGCATATATCTCAAGGGAATTTGTGAAAATATGAAAAACAAAGCCAGCAACAAAAACCCACCACCATTTCACAGACAACCTAACTTGAAAAGTATGATCACACACTGCCTGATATTTAAGTAAATAGTGGACCACTTAGATGATGGGTATACCATTCTCTGCATTACAGCAGAAAAATACCTATCACTAAGAAAAGTACAATAGAAAATGAACAAAAGGCATAGGAGAAATATAAAGGCAACAAAAGAAACATCACTAAATGTATTTGTCACACATATAACACACTTTAGTATCTACCTCAAAAGTTTCAAGATAGGAATCACAATGCAGTGATCTCCACCATTAGTCCTAAGTGAACCTGGTAAGTGATTTACTTCCTTCAAGTGTGTGATGAAAAATAAGTGAAACATGATTTCTTTTTCTTGAAGCTGAAGACAACTGTGATGTCCAAAGTCTTTACCAAATTGTTTAAATGAATAGGGTTTTTCTCTTGTATGAGTTTGTCCTCATTTCCACATTTCAAAATGATATAAATAGACTTTAAAAAATTTACAGCACTAGAGATATGACTGGGCAGTTAAGAAATGTTCATTCCCAGGACCAAGGTCTGATTTTTGACAACTTCTTGTCATTCATCTCCAAGATCCAATGGTCTAACATTTTCAGGAACCAGTTCACATGATCACATACCCACACAAACACACACACATCACATAATTAAAACATTTTCTAAAAATTCCCAAATGATACCATCAACTTAGAACGATTGATTTCTTTGGCTTCAAGCCTATATGCTATCTTTCTTTTACATGGACCAATTCATGATGAAGAAAAACTCTGAAAGCCATTAGATGCCTCAACACCTGTTACAGTAATTAATGCTCACAAGAGGAAAAACCTTCATGTAAAATTGGTTCTATAAACAGTTGTTAACAGCCATAAGTAAGGTGGAGAGAGATGGAAGACACGTAACATTGGCCTCTATGAACAGACCCACATGAAAGAAAACAAGTTTTATCTCTTATACTTCTAATATACAATGGTACAGAATAATATTCCCATTTCAAAGGGGAAAATTGGGTCAAAGCCGCAAGACCTAATTCCTAGTAGGGCAAACCAGAGATTCTACACAGTGAAATGAAATGCATTTGCAAATTTTAGAGATAGTTTGTATGTTGACTTGCCTGCATCTTGGGTAGAAACTGGTATCGCCAGGCTATTTTCATGTTAACATCTGCATCTGGTGTTTGAGGATTATGTGCATCATCAAGTTCTTTTTTACCATTATCATCAAGTTGTGGTGCAGGGAGTTCCTAAGAAAACAGAGTAATACATTATATGGCATCAGTGTTAAATATGGTAATTTCTTGAACCATAATGACAGCAATGCTAGAGTTTTCCAATGCATTAAACAAACATGGGTGCCTTGTTATTGATTTAAACACAAACAGAATGAGAAAAGATTTCCTTCCTTCCTCCCTCCCTTGCTCCCTCCCTTCCTTTCCTCTCTCCCTCCTTCCCTCACCCCATCTCTCCTTTCCTTCCTTCCCTTCATCCTTTCTTCCTTCCATTTCTGACAAGTGTCCTGTGTAGTTCAGGGCATACTTAAGGATGACTATGAACCTCTCCTTCCCTGCTTTAATCTGTCAAGTGCTAGGATGACTAAGGTGCACCATCATGTCCAGTTTATGTGGGGCAGAGGATTGAACTCAGGGATTTATGCATGCTGGAAAGTCTTCTGCCAATTGAGCTATATCCCCAGGCCTTAATATAGACAATTATAAAACAGAAGAGTGGTATAATATCAGATATGAAGTTTAATGTTTTTTAATGAACTATTATTCAAATACATCTGAATTTCTATATTCACAAAAATCAATTCTATTTTAGCAAGTAAAGTATATACTAATAAAAATATATACTTAAGCAAAGTATGGAATCAGCACTTATGTACTATATGTAGTTACTGTTGTGTTTGCCATGAAATAAAATACATCATTGTATAATCTGTCTACTCATTTGTACTTCTAGAATTCAAAAACTTATTCACTAGAATAATGAATGAAGTAACAGTGGAGAATAAAGACATTTATTTTCCCAATATCAAATTGCTAGTTTTTGTACCTACAAACTTAATTTACTTTTTAAACAATAAAAACAGAATTTAAAATCTTTTATTAAATATAGATACTGAATACCAATTTATTATTTTGTAAGGTGACCTAGTGAGTAGCTATGAAAGAAACTTTAAAATTATTTTTGTCACGTGTTATAATTAAAAACAGCATTTTGTAAGAAAAGTATGTCATGATTTTTGTTTTTATTTTTTATTAGCCAGAACAACAAATGATGTGGGAATTTACAATAGCAACTATAATTATATTTTAAGTTTATCTAAATCGCAATTTTTATTTTTCAAGATCAAATACTATTTTTTTCCCTCTAGGGGTAGGGAGGACAGGGTCACATTTTATACAACACAGTTCAGGCTGGCCTCAAACTTAAGATCCTCCCTTCTCTGCCTCAAGACAGCTGGGACTACAGATATGTACCATACAACCATAAGGCCCAGCTTATATGGTTTACAATTAAGGTAAAATCAATACTTTGAAGTCTATTGGTTTTTAATATTTCAGAGTTGTGCAGTTCTCACCATCGAATAAGCTTTCTGTTACTCTGATGAAATACCTAAATGACCAAGATAAAATGAGGAAGGATCTATTTTGGTTCAGAGATACAGTCCATAGTCATCTGGCTGCATTGTTTCCAGGCCTGTTGCTAGGCAAAAAAGTGTAGTATGGAGGAGTAGAACTTCCCATCTCATGATATCAGGATGTAGGATGCAGGATGCAGACAGGTATAAAAGGATACAAAGCTAAGATATATCTGTCAAAGGCAAGTCCACAATGAACAAGTTCCTCTAATTAGTTCCACCTTCCACAATTCCACCATATCTCACTGGCCTATTCAAATTCTGAATCTTACAATGGATTAACCCATTGATTAGGTCAGAGCCTTCACGATCAAATCATCTCTGGAAATGTCCTTACTGCCATACTCAGTACTGTGCTGTACAAATCTCCCAGGTGTCTCACTGCAACCAAGTTAACAATAGAGATTAACTATCATAACCACTATCCACCTTCACGATATTTTTACCATTCTGTAAAGATATCCAATGCATCTTCTACAGCCAATATCAGCTACTAATCTTTGTTTCTATGAATTTGGCTCTCTTGGACATTTTATATAGTGATACAAAATTTTACGTCTGGTTTCTTTCACTTAACATGTTTATCCATGTTGTAATATACATCATGAATTCATTATTTTTCATTAGCAAATATTACATTGTATGTATATACTAAATTTTGTTTACCCACCATTTACTGGATTATTTCTACCTTTGATTGTTATATTACTATGAATATTCAAAAGATTTTATTTATTATTTTTTATTTGAAAAGTGACATATTTGAGTATTTGAAACAATTGTGGCAAACGTTTTTGGTCTTAATAAGAAATCAGGTACAGTTTCACATGACATTGACTTAAATCAATAAATAATGTATTTATTGTTTTGAAAGCAATGATATGATGCCTAGCTACAGGACTAGATAGACTCTTACCCCAGATGCATTCTGAGAAGATATCATAATCAGAGTCAAAATAAACACAACTCAATTCACTGGAATCTGGACAAATGTCCTAAACAAAAGCCAAGAGCTGATATTATCTCTTATGTAGCTGAAGACATGAAGTCCATGACTGCATGTTTTGTTGCCACACACATTTTAGAGATATGAGTCCTTGGGCAGATGGTGATACTCACTTTCCTTGTTACACAAGACCCTTAACTCCTGAACACACAAGCTGTGGTGACTAGAATTTTGGCAATGGCTCAGGCTTTGTGCAGTTGCGGTGACTTCAGAAGAAGTGTACTGTGGCCCTGGCTCTCACAGTTTTTTATCTCTGGAGGCTACTCAAGTGGCTGAGGGTACCCATTTTACTACAGAGGAAATGAATTCACTGGATTACAAGAATTTTTTTGTGTTTATGAATAGAAACATGACAAACAGAACAGCCAGTCATTTATTTACTACCCAAGGATAAGTAATTTGAACATACTTGAGCATTCCTCTCCCAGCTTCTTCTATATATATGCATGTGTGTCTGCACACATACTCATACACATTACAAAATACATATTGACCAGTATGTATACTAAGCTATATGCTAACTTATGATCTTTCCATATTATTTATTAAGCACATGATTTTCAATGGCTTTAAAATATTACACTGCATTGCTTAATCAAAATTCAGTTCACCACTTCTGTCTTGTGGACCTTTCAGCTGTTTCCAATGTGAAAATGCCACAACAAGCATAATTCTTTACACTATGCTTCTGTGTCTTAAGTGATCCTCTCTATGAGATTATACAGAAGAAAGAAAAAAATAACAAAATAGTCTAGTTTCTACCACTTGGCTTTCCTTAATCTTAACAACTGGCTTAATGACAAAAGAAACCAGTAATTTCAGAAAGCTAGGAGCATCATTTGTATGAAAACACAAGGATTGCTAAAAGTCTTTAAAAGCAACTTGCGAGACCCTGGATTCTCCTATATGTTCTCCCAGAGACAGGATGCTACTCCTCCCTCTTCTGCCTCAGAAATGGAGGGCAAAACAGACAAACTCTGAAGTAGGAGCAGAGAAAGAGATGTGATAAGATGATGGTTTATTGAAGATCTCCAAAGGAAGAGTGAGCCAAGTTCCACTCCAACACATCCAAAACCACACCACACACACATACACACACATTACACATATGCATGCATGTGTGCACATACACATCACACATACACACACGCCACACACATACATACACATGTGTACACACACACATACACACACATGACTGCTAGGCTGTCGGAACAACAGAAGTCATTCTTAAACAGAACAGGCAAGACGTCAGGAGACTGGAAGATTGTTAAAGATGGATGAGCTTATGAGCCATAAATGAACTAGTTCACAGGTTATATGCTCAGACACAAAGTCCCTCCAGTTAGTTTTTCAGTCCTTTACCATTGAATACAAACAGAGAGAAATCATCAGATACTTGAGAAAAGCATCTGACATAGAATTCAAATACCAAGATAATTGAGCAAGAAATGGAAATGGTGCCAGGGGAAAATGAAAAACTTTAGAAAGTGCAAAAAGTTATATAACAGTATGTAGAAATAGGGGCATAATAATCCAATGAAAAAACCCAGAAAAAAAAAAA